GCCCGGGCGCGTCGGGGGGGAGGCCCCCCGCCACAGCGAGGGCGCAGGCTGGGTACAGGCGGCTGGCTGAAACCGTACCTGGTCTGTGCTGTGCGTGCTGTCTACTCTCCTTAGTGCAATCTGATGGGAAAACTCTCACCTAAAGGGCACAGCACATCAGAACATACTGGCATTACTTACGTTGGGGACTCTCAGTACAACACACCTGCTCTACACATTAAAATGCACGGCTCTCCCTCATGCAGTAAACAAGCTGTTCTATTACAGGATTGGCGATAACAACAGAGAACACGAACTTGCCCACACACAGGCCTGAGGCCACATCCCTCCACGGCAGTGCGTGTGACCCTCTCGCTGGAGGGTCAGCGAGGTCTCTCAAGATGGCAGAACAGTCCCCGGGCTGTGCCTGCTGAGGGCTAGGCATGTTCTGTGCACCGCACACAGGCTCCTGGCAGAGCAGGAGAGATGGTCCCTGGAACTGACGTGAGGAGCCCTGTGTAGACGCCACACAGTGACGCAGGAAGGTGGGCACCGGAGTGACACGCCACATGGCGATGCAGAGGGAGGCACCGGAATGTGAGTGAGGAACACAGCGGCCAGCGGGGAGGGGTGTGCCCTGTTTGGGGAGGGGAGCCATGGACTGCAGACGTGTGCAGAGGACGGAGCGAAGAGAGGACGTCAGTGACACGTCTGTGGTCTGCAGTACAGAGAGGGCAGAGGTGAGGTGGGAGGACAGTGTGGAAACCAGCTCCCGCCGTGTCTGCCCCGACTGTGGCACTGCAACGTCCACCTGGGGAAGCTGGAGGAGACCGTCCCAGCAGAGCTCGCTCTGTCTCTGAGCACGGCGGCTGCCTGCAGCAGACTAGGACGGGGTCTCCATCTGCTCAGAGGCACGCGACAGGTCTGAACTCAGAGCACAGTGCCAAGTGCTCACAGCCACTTCAGTGGTAAACAAGCAGGTGCCGTCGAGAGACCCTCCCCACACGGCAGGGGCTGGGTAAGCCCTCACAGTTACTGCCTGGTGTGTCAAGGATCCTTCCACAGGTGCACCCCAAATCACCAGGAGAAACGGCCACTGACCAGGCCACCGGACGTGACCCACGAGTCGTCTGACAGCAAACGGCACCGACTGTGTCTTGAGGGATGCAGCCCCTTGCCACTGTGTTTGGGTTTCAACAGAATGGGGGCAGCTGGGATGTACATGGGGAAGACAGCACTTCAGAGCTGTAAAACCACCGCTTACAGGAAGCACTTTCTGAAAAGAGAGTACAGGTGCTGCTCACCCCACGACGTGCCAGTGTACTCGCCACACGTAATTTCAAAAGAAGTCCGCTTTATTTTTAGGAATGAGACGATTTTCCTCAGTTTTTGCTATGTATCTTTGAAAATACTTCATGTTTTTGAAATATAAAAGCCATACTTTAATACGGAAAAAACAAACTGTCATTTAGATCAACTTTGTGAGTGCTGATTTCCACGTCTACCAGCGTAATCACCACAAACCTTCAGTTACCCACGGCCGTGGGCGGTCCTCGCTAGGCCACACTCAGCAAGAGCAGGGAGCAGGTCATGAAGCTGCTGACCGCACCTGTCCTGTCACCTTACCTCCTGATAACTCCGTATTAGAGCAGGGTGCTTCTCTGTGTTCTCATCTATTTTATTTCAATATAATTAAAACCAAGCCAATTAAAAAAAAAAAGAAACAAAAAGGTAGGGTAGTTACAAAGGTCTAAATAAATTAATGACATTTTTTTCAGCTTTAATGGAAAAAGTGTTGGTATCTAGCAAATAGCGCTTCTTCTTGTCAAATAAGTCAAAACGCAAACGTCCCAACAGTGGGGTAGACAGGGCACAGGCCTTCCCCACCCCTGCCGCACGTGAGACGGTGCATTTCTGACCACCCCCATCGCCCATAGAGCCCCCCTGCTCCCCCAGGAGCAACTTCCAGCACCTGACATTCCAAGGGGTCTCCTGACACTCCTCACCAGCTCTCTGAGTAACAGGCAAAGAGCCTGCCCCATTACAACGAGCCACACATGTGTACACACACATGTACATGTGGAAACATCCATGCACACACACGCAGACACACACTTCGAGAACCTGGCTGCAAAGCCCAGGGCCGCAGGCAGACAGGCTCACCTTGCGCCCGTCGCTGGCGTGGCAGTTCACGTTGAGAGGCGTCAGCAAGGCCATGAGCTTGTCCTCGTTCCCGCTCCTGTGGAAGGCAGCCGGTCAGACCCGAGCACGGCCAGCTCCAGAGGGTGTGCGTGGCATTTTTCACAAGACAGCAATGACACGGGATTCCTTTGATTTCTTTCATGTGCATCACAACATACTCAATTCACTCAATACATTTCTAATTAATTCGTGTGCATCAGCATAGGATGGTAATATTGCGGACAATGTAGCTTCCCACATTTTTGTTTATTTACCTGCATAAAGTCACCTTCTTAATTATCAACAAACTTTACTCTGATAAATGATCTAAAACATGAGAATTGGAAAACGCAAAATGCTAATATGAGCTGACCAGCTGGATTATAAATGGCCAAGCACAACAGCAAAATGGGTGAGGACTCGTTTACTTTACGCCTCGCTCAAGCTTTGCAGAAAAGCCTTCAGAGGAAGGCGAGGCGACACAGGCATGTAAATACGCCCAGAACGTCATTGGAAAAGCCGGGCAACCAAGGTCTGCAGGTACCTTAGGAAATGTTCCAAACAGAGCCCCCCACAGCACACCATGTTGAGGACTTTACTGCCACGCACACCAGTCACGAAAAAACAAAGTGCGGGTCTCGCCTGTGCTGGTGCATCAAACCCAAGCGAGACAATAAGGCAGTGATTTCTGCAGCCCTCCTGCCCTCCCGACGTCCCTCCATGCACTATACTCATTGGGAATGAAGGGGTCACTTACCTAGCAGCTTCTAGGAGCTCGTCTTTCTTGTATTCACCTAGATGATTGCAAAATATCATGCTGTTAGCATTTGGCAGAAGACAGATTAAGAAATGCAGTAGGCAGCAAACAGAGACTCAAACAGAGAAGCACAGAGAGAGTCCACACCCGCTGGGTGAGGGCCGTGACGTGCGCAGCCTGTGAGGCAGCATCGCCAGCGCCTTGGAGACGGGCAGCAAACTGACGTGGCTTCTTGTCCAATCCTCGTATGCAGCTGCTTCCCCGAGACAGCCAATGATGCTACATCTCGTGTCCAGAAACACAGCCTCTGATAACAGCACGCCCGCCCGCTGAAGACAATGTCCCCTCCCCCCCTATTCAGGCTGTCACAGCGTACTTGGGAAGCATAATACATCTTGGCACAAAAGCAAAATAATGCGGCTCTTTAAAGGTATAAATTACCAGGCTTCAAACAACTCAGTTTTATTTGCAACGACATGGGAAGTTTAGAAAAATTAATTGTCGCTCTTGAGCCACAGCAACAGACAATGCAGACCCCAGAGACGGCAAGGCTCTGCCTCCTCTGACAGGGAAGGTCTGCAGACTGAAGTACGTGCGCTCCGCAGCAGACACTGTGGGCCTGGGCGCAGCGCTCTGGGACCCAGGGCGGGGAGCGCGTTCGTAAACGACAGCAATCTTACAGCACCTGCAGCCCTCACGCTTCGTGCACATGCAGTGCCGAGTTTCAACAGTAAACATTAAAAATGTGTATTTTTAAGAGGTTTGGGGTCTCGTAATGACCACACATCCAATTGTTATAATATGGATGATTCCCTACATTTTTGCACCATGGATTTTTAAGACCTATCACCAATTAAAAGTGGAAATACAGTTCAAAACCTTCCATCACAGATTTCTCAAGGTATTCAAGATCTAATGAACACATCTTTCTGAAGCTAAACAGAAAGACAAGGAATTTTAACAGCACAGCGTTGTCCATTCAGTAAATGAAAGGAGCAGTCAGGAGTACACTCAGTGGGGCCACTCTGACTCAGTCTGTTCTGTCATTAAAGGGGTAAATGCACAAAATTCTCAGCAAGTAATTATACGCACAAACGCTAAACAGACTTTAAGACATAAAAAATTTCTTTCGGTAGAGATTTTCGCTATAGGACACACTTGCATGCATCAGAAAGAGAGGGAGAGACAGACAGAGAGACTGCAGGAACCAGATTCCCTGGGGGGGGGGGGAATGACCACACTGTAATCTCTTCTCCTTCATTCTCCTCTCGGGATCTCAGGCACGCACGCACACGCGCCTGGCCTGAGTTTAAGCCGCCAGGTCTGGGACTCAAACTGCGGTCAACTACATGGGAATCCAGCAACATAGCCATTACGCCATCTGCTGGTCCCAACCAGATATTTTTAAAAAAGCTAAAAGTTAGCAAATACCTACTCTATCCTAAGAGAACTCCGTGAGCTGATGCAGTCGCAGGCAGCCGACATGCACCCTCCCCCTTGAAGAGTTGGCCTCTCCGATCCCTTAGACCTGTATCTCAGACTGTAACTAGCGGGCAGGACAAACATCATGTTCTATCTTTGAGCCAATAAGGCTTCACCTTCTCAAAGCCAAAGATGTGCCTTTGTTAAACATTTCAGGTAGCAACATGGAAATCAGAGAGTCTGTGTGTAAAGAGGAAACCGGTCACCTGCCTGAGCGCCAAGGGCAAAGTGGATCAAGTTACTGCGCAGCAATCACCAAACTTTCACGGAAGGCCCGTATGCCAGATTCAAACCCAAAATGCGCTATCTTCTCTCACCTCAGGGTACTATCTTATTAAAGGTAAAGACACATAAACAAATGAGTCTGAAAAGAATCTCATGAGAGGCTACCACGGGCCGGCCCCATAGACTAGTAGCTGCAGGAACCAGATTCCACACGGCTGACCACAGTATGAATCCCAGCCCTGGTGCCATGAAGAACATGCTGGGTGTATGCGTGCCCCAAATCTACAAAAACAGAAGTGGAGGAGGAGGGGCTGCCTTGCGGCAGAGCTCCCCAGTCTGGCAGGCACGCACCTTCTGGTGATTAAAGAAGGAAAAACAAATAAAGAAATGCTATGGAGAGCTGACCACTTGGTCAGAATGGGATTAAGAGGTGCTAGCTGTGGCTCCTGGGAGCCTTTCTGGAAGTGGGAAACCTGAGCAGAGCTCTGAGGGGAGGGAGTGAAGCTAGGGCCAGTCAGGCAGAGCAAGATGGAAGGAGAAGCGAGACTGAGGGGCGGGGAAGGGGGGCACGGGGTGGGGGGGAGAGGGCTCCCCTGGCCAAGAGAGCAACAAGAAAAGGTTGACCTGTGTCAACTGAGGGGCTGTCAACTGGCTAAAGACCTGCTGATTTTGAAATTGCTTGTTAGGGAGGAAAGCAGCAAAAAAGAAAAAGCGAGAGCAAGAGACTTGGGACCAGCAGTTGGTGTAACGTTTCTGTCGCTGGACTCCCATTGTAGTCGACTACGATTCGAGTCCCGGACCTGGTGGCTTAAACTCACGCGGGGCGCGTGTGTGTGCGCATCTAAGATCCCGGGAGGAGAATGGAAGAGAAGGGATTATATGTGGCCATCCCCCCACCCCCAAGGGTGATTTCTCGCTTTCTGTCTCTGTCTCTCTGGCGAACACACGTGCCCTATAGCAAAAAATCCTCTAACAAAAACAAAAAAACAAAAAGAGAGAGACACAACACCCTAAACCCTGACCGTCCATATTTCAGAGTAAGTGTGAGCTCCCCGACACACAGTAAACCCAGGAGCTGGGAACCCGGAAGGAGCCACCCCTGAGATCCGAGTCATGGCCAAGTGCGGCCTAGTATGCACCAGGGGGTAGCAGTGCTCTGGTGCACAGCCTCCTGATGCGCTCATCAAATGGCTCTTCTGGCAAAAACATTATTCCCGCTTGGATAAGCCAGTAAGAAACCAAAGTCTCCAAAAAATGTACATCTGTAAGCGGACCCGGCAGTGTCAGACCGGGTGTAACGAGTCATGCTCACTCCACTGTCACAGACTCTGGGCCCAACAGCTCTGCAGCACCTTCCTGCATCCACCAGCTGGTGCCCAGGGACCACAATCCGCAAACAGCTGGAACTGTTTTTCCTTTTTTCCCTCAAGAATTATTTTATTTAACTTTATTTATTTATTTGTTTTAATTTGACCAGAGAAGGACAGAGTGAGAGAGAGAGAGGGAAGGTGAGAAAGCAAGTTGCCAGATCTGGGACTCGAACCACCATAGGCCATGCAGTAGAGGCCAGCACCCTCCACCACCACACCACCTGCTGGCCCCTGGAGCTTGTTTTCAAATGGCACCTGACAGAACAGCTCCCACGGTGAGCTCAGAGCCCCTCCACCCTGATGACACAGCTGAGCTGCTTGCTGGGCAGCTGGCCACCAGGAAGCCTCATACTCTTTAGGAAAGACGAGTAGGCAACGGCAGTCCCGTGACAGCAGCCACGGATGGAGAAAACAGGTGGCTTAAATATTTTTTATTAGAATAAAATGAATGGGATTAAACTACAACTACAAAGCAAACACGTCTGAAAGTTTCCTTTCCAAAGTCTGCCAGGCCCTCAGCAGGCCGATCGGACTGCTGAGCTGGGGAAGAACGATGGAGGGGCAGCTGTGCGACAGCTGGCAGTGGCCGTGGCCCGCTTTCGTCTCTTTTAGCTTTTGTTGCAGGGTGTGTGAGCTCGCCGGACGGACACAGCGCTAGAGAACGGACGTGTGTACTCCCCGGGGAGGACGGCCATGACGCTGCCCCTTTTCCTTCATTCTCCTGTTGGAATTTGGGGCACACACACACAGGCGTCCAGCGTGCTTCTCAAGCCAGAGTCTGGGATTCAACCTCATAGTCACTCTGCCAGCTCCAGCACCTTAACCCCCATGCTACCTGCTGGCCTGACAATGACCAATGGCTGGCTTTAAACAGAGCAAACGTATTAATGCAACAAGCCAACACTTCTAGTCAAAACTACTTGAAAGCATTTAAACTTCCAGATGAGCTTGACGTGGGCCACAGCCAAAGGAGGAAGAATGAAGAAAAAGCACCTGGACCCACTTAAATGAGATGTGCTCCAGGCCCGATGCACCTGCCTGCGTTCCTGGACAGATGGGCACCTCAAGAGAGCTGCGTAGGGACGCCAGCTGGAACTGTTTTTCCTTTTTTCCCTCAAGAATTATTTTATTTAACTTTATTTATTTATTTGTTTTAATTTGACCAGAGAAGGACAGAGTGAGAGAGAGAGAGGGAAGGTGAGAAAGCAAGTTGCCAGATCTGGGACTCGAACCACCATAGGCCATGCAGTAGAGGCCAGCACCCTCCACCACCACACCACCTGCTGGCCCCTGGAGCTTGTTTTCAAATGGCACCTGACAGAACAGCTCCCACGGTGAGCTCAGAGCCCCTCCACCCTGATGACACAGCTGAGCTGCTTGCTGGGCAGCTGGCCACCAGGAAGCCTCATACTCTTTAGGAAAGACGAGTAGGCAACGGCAGTCCCGTGACAGCAGCCACGGATGGAGAAAACAGGTGGCTTAAATATTTTTTATTAGAATAAAATGAATGGGATTAAACTACAACTACAAAGCAAACACGTCTGAAAGTTTCCTTTCCAAAGTCTGCCAGGCCCTCAGCAGGCCGATCGGACTGCTGAGCTGGGGAAGAACGATGGAGGGGCAGCTGTGCGACAGCTGGCAGTGGCCGTGGCCCGCTTTCGTCTCTTTTAGCTTTTGTTGCAGGGTGTGTGAGCTCGCCGGACGGACACAGCGCTAGAGAACGGACGTGTGTACTCCCCGGGGAGGACGGCCATGACGCTGCCCCTTTTCCTTCATTCTCCTGTTGGAATTTGGGGCACACACACACAGGCGTCCAGCGTGCTTCTCAAGCCAGAGTCTGGGATTCAACCTCATAGTCACTCTGCCAGCTCCAGCACCTTAACCCCCATGCTACCTGCTGGCCTGACAATGACCAATGGCTGGCTTTAAACAGAGCAAACGTATTAATGCAACAAGCCAA